TTAATACTCTATTTGTCTCACAAAACATTACTCATTTTGAATAGTATTTGGTCAAACAGTTACTCGTTTTTTACTACAAATTGTGAGAAAAGTATATTGAATCATAATATAAATTTAATATAATTAGATTTATCTTAGGATCTAGTTTTGATATATCAAATTTTTATAACATTTCTTTATTTAAATTATATTTAATTTATGATTAAAGCATGTAACTGTTTGACAAAAAATACATCAAAAGAGGTAATGTTTTTGGGATGGAGGGGGTAAGTTTTTAGTACTCCCTTCGTCCTTCAAAGATTTTTCTATTACGTAACGCGGCTTGATTGATATTATTTTTAATTCAATTTATTTACTTGTAGATATAAAATTTATATAGTAAAAATTGAAAAATACTACAAAACTAGATGTGACCAAATTATACTCGGTATTATTTTATGAAATTAGTAATAAACAAAAATAAACAAAGTGATTTAAAATTAATCTTGTTACGAGAAGATCATTACGGAGTATTTCTAAAGAGTAATTTACCTAAATAGGACTAAAACATAATGACTTTCTCCAAATAGGACCATATGTTTTTATTTCTCAATGTAGGACCTTTGGTCATTGTTAATTAGTCATTATTTAAGTAAATGTCCATCATTGCTGGGCATTATTCCTTCCACGAAGACATTATTAAATCCTATTTAGGAAAGTCATTATGTTTTAGTCCTATTTAGTGCAAATTTCACATTTCTAAAACGGTAAGAAGTAACGGCTTATCCAACGTAATACCAAACGTAGTCGTTTAAAAAATTAACCGAATAGGACTTTCATAAATTTATCACAAAATAGGAATTTTTACTGTGACAATGTGATAAAGAAAATTCATATTACTTTTTTTGTAATATATATGATCAATGATTGATACTGTAAATATATTTAAAATTCTATTTCGCAAAAAAAAAACATAAAACATGTATTTTGATATTGTTTTCCATATTAAATCGGTCAATGCCCCAAATGCTAAAAGTCTAAAAACCTCTTCAGATTTCACGCCTCGCTTCCATTTATACACTCTCCGCTTCTTCCGTCTCTATCCTTTCTTCTCTTCTTCTCTGATCTTTCACTTCTTCAGGTGAGTTCTTAAATTCATCGCTGTAGCTTTGATTTCTTTTACCGATTTTTTTAATGTTGTTGTTGATTTCCAGCTGCAATTGTAATTTCACTTTAGCTCTGCAATTGTTGGTGTTTGTTCTCTGTGTTCTCGCTTATTCAGGATTCGTTCATGTTAATCCTTTGTAATTTATGAGATGAACTCTTTATTTCTGAAATTTTTGTTTATGACTTGAAATTTGAATTCTCGTTTAGACTATGTAGATTTTGAATATGCAGGGAATATATATGATGAATGATTTTCTTTTTTTGTGCTTGTTTAAATAAGTATTTTCCGAATTTAAAACTGTTGGTGGGTTACAGTAGTGAGGTTGAAACTTGTATAGTTGATAAATTACCTTAAATTGATCAGCTCTTGATTGAATGAAGTATAGAACTAAACACTTTCATGGTGTCTGCCGTTTTCATTTCTAGGGGTTTCCCCCCTTTTTTCTGTTTATTTTAAGTTTAGTTTGTATGTTCTTATTGGATGAAAAATCAATCCGGTAAGTTTGATGTGATTCACTCAAATTCTTGGTTTCCAGCATGTTTTGAATAAGTTCTATTGAAATTTATTAAAATTACTTGCAAGTTATAGGTTCAATAGATTTTTTCCATTTATTTCCGAGATGCTAAATAATTTCCTGGGTTTTTTTATTCATATTATTTTTTTGTTTAACCAGTTTGCAGTTGACTAAGACATAATGACTGCATTAGATGTAACACGGACGGAACTTGCTCTTGCTGTTTTGTATCTGAACAAAGCCGAAGCGAGGGACAAGATATGCAGAGCCATTCAATACGGTTCAAAGTTCTTGAGTAATGGGGAGCCCGGAACTGCTCAAAATGTTGATAAATCGACTAGCTTAGCTCGCAAAGTGTTCCGTCTCTTCAAGGTTAGAAACGGTGGCTGCTTGTCCAACACCGACAGTTTGAGGATGGCACTGACGATTTAGTGATATATATATGGCTAAAATATTGTCAAAATTGTTTACACCGACGACTTTATATATAAATGACTTTTGTTTTAATGAAAGGTTGCTACTTTATGTGTTCTTTCTCTTTCTTTTTTATTACAGTTTGTCAATGATCTTCATGCTCTTATCAGCCCAAGTGCTCCCGGAACCCCACTTTCACTAATCTTGTTGGGAAAGGTAGGAAAGTTAACTGTTACTAAGTTTTTTCTGTAATGATGAAAACCCCGCTTTGGCTTTCCTAACATTGAGACTATTAATGGTTTCAGTCAAAGAACGCTTTGCTATCCACTTTCTTGTTCTTGGATCAAATTGTATGGCTTGGAAGAACAGGCATATATAAGGTTGTAAGCTAGCTGTATCCATCGCCTTTTGGCGTTCTTGGAACGGTTTCTTTGTACATATGATGTTTGAGCTGATTCTGATGCATTTTATTGTGATTTGCCCTATAGAATAAAGAGCGTGTGGAATTGCTTGGTAGGATCTCCCTTTTTTGCTGGATGGGTTCATCAGTCTGTACCACCTTGGTTGAGGTCCACTTCTCGCCTCTTCCATCTTTTAGTATAAACTGTATAATGGTGTTGTTACAAGTAACCAATAATTTTCTTTAATTGCATTACAGAGTATTTTATATTGTTTAACCTGCAGATTGGGGAGCTTGGAAGACTCTCAGCATCAATGAAGAAGTTGGAGGCTGAGCTTAAAAATACTGACAAACACCAGGTCTTTATATTCCTCACTTTGCTTTGGGGCATGTTTGGAACTCGGAAAATGGGAAGGAAATAAAACCTGAGGGGAAATCAAAGATAGAGTGATATACTCAAAGACAATAAATTTGTTTCAACTCATTTTATCTTTTTATTTCTATTGTAAAAAAACTTAATGAAAGAGAATAAATTTTCTTACCACATTCTAAGTGGACACGGGTAGAGAGGATATTTTCGAAAGAGTCATACGGTATTATTTTTGTCACATTTTAGTGCATTTGTTATTATTGCAGAACGAGCAATATCGCAATAAACTTCAGAAGTCAAATGATAGATCTATTGCACTGGTCAAAGCAGGGTTAGATATTGTGGTTGCAGTTGGGTTACTTCAGTTGGCACCAAAGAAAGTAACTCCGCGTGTGACAGGCGCCTTTGGATTTGTTAGCTCTCTCATATCTTGTTATCAGGTACCCCCCCACCCCACCCCACCCCCCAACCCTCAAAGTGAAGAAGTTCACAAATAGCTCTTCAATTGTTATGCTTTGTTTGGATGTTTATAAGTATCTTATTTGGACATCTGTTTTACTTTGCAGTTGCTTCCTTCACCAGCGAAGGCTAAGACGGCCTAACAGATTACAGACGCCGAATTGTTCTCCGTCTGCTGCCAGAATAATTCTTCGTACTAAACAACGTGCGAAAGGGTCGGTGTTGCCTATGTTGTTTCCAATGGTTTGGTCATGTGTAGCATGAAATTTCACTTGCCACACTTAAAAATTATGATCCATATGATCTTTAGCTTTTCTTCTATTTGGCCAAAACTACTAAAACAGAATATTAATTAATACTTGAGTGGGAAGTTGAAAGTGTTTTTTCCCCTTTCAGTTGGCATAATGTTTTGATTTGGAGTGATGCATAACAAAATCTCACCCCACTTACAAAACTGAAATCCAATTTTCTGGTTCTTACAATTTTGTTTTTATTTCACTAAAAACCAGAAAACAAATGGACAAAAAAGGATAGTCAATTGTCACAGTCCGTCGTTCCTAAATATGCAGTAGTTGTGACATCCATAATTTTCTGGTCCTTCATTTTTTTAGACATATTTTCATCAATAAATTGATGATATAATAGTACTTGGTAATATGCTCATATCACTTCGTTTGTAAAACTTTTGATTACGTAATACTTCCCTGCATCAAAATGATTTATCTCTTTATTAAGGAGTATTATGTGTTCTTTCGATAATTTTTATTTGCTTGCATGTTTTAATAATTATTTGAAAAAATAATACTCGGTATATTTTTTCATCTTTTGTTTTGTAAAACTTTTTGATGAAGTTTTAAAGTATATAACTTTTGTTTTTTTATTTCTATATCTATTTGTAAATAAAACTATACGAAAAGTTATGCTTAGTGAGATTTTGCACGAAGATAGATGGAATAGTACTCCCCTTGTCCTAAAAAAGTTTTTAGTTTGATTTGGTACAAAAAATTTAAAGAAAGTAAAAATGTGTGGATGAAAATGATGCAAAGAAGAGAAAAATTGTAAATCACTTGATGTTTTCCATAAAAGAAAATATGGAGTTTTTTTTTAACATCACAAAAGCAAAATAAGGAGTTTTTTAGGAAAGTATTGTTTTATAAACTTTTAATTTAATTTTTAAATATATAGTGCTCGTACATACTCTCACCGTCCCTGAGTATTTGTCCACTTTTGACTTTTTTCGGTAAAGGTTGGTAAACTTTGACCTTAAATTAAATAAAAATGATATTAGATATAGATACAAAAAGAGTTTTATTAGATTTATTATATCAAATATTTTCAAAATATTATTTTATTTAATTAAAATATAATATATATTTTATTTAATTATAGCTCAAAGGTTGAAAACAGTTGACTGAAAAAAGTCAAAACTAGACAAATACTCAAGAACAAAGATAGTATTATTTGTATTTTTATATTTGAAAATTCAAGCAATCACTTTTTTTTATCACACAAGCAATCACTTTATTTGTAATTTTATATCAATTTCTATCATACAAACGTATATAACACTCCAGTTTAAAGCTTTTAAACAAATCCCACAAAAAAGGTATGGAATATGAATATTAACAAATCAAACCAAAGAACAAGAGAAAAGCTAAAGTCACAAACACTTCGATCACAAAATGCACAAATTTGCCATTTGTCCATCTCACCAAGTGAATAAAATGATATCAAATGATTAAAAAGTAAACATTTAAATACACAAATGGTAAGTTTGTGTATTTTGTGATAAAAATGTTTGTAAGTCTAGCGTTTCTCGTATTACTTTAGCACACGCTATTATTGATGTAAAATTCATTCTGTTCACATTACTCATGTAAAATCATTTTTTCTGCAGCACACATAAATATAAAAACTTGCATTTACATGAAGTTAAAATCCAGCTCAGATTTGCTAATATCAGATGGCTATGTTCTCATCATCATCATCATCAGTCTCAGCATCAGCATAGCCCCATGGATACATTTCATCTGGGACATCTGGCTCAATGCCAATACCCAACAAATACCCCAACAAACCCACACGTCCCTCCGCTTGGTTGAAGAACACTCTAGAAGCTTCTTCTTCTTCCCCGTCGGCCATGGGTTGCAGCATGCACTCGAACGCTTCGTGGTTGTAAGTCATTGAGAACTTTCCGGATTGTTCAAGAATCTGCACTTCAAATCCGGGGGAGAGGGGCCTGCCAATTGCTTTAACATGGCTCACACTGCACCCCGGGGAAAAAAATCAAAGTTAGAACACAAGTGCACAAAGTATACACGCCGAGCAAGGGTCCGAGAAAGGGTCCCACTATAAAGATGTGATGTAGAATTGGTTTGACATCACGGAATTTGAGAAAAGTGCATGGTTGGAATTTGTTTTAAAGATCGTATAAACTGTATCTTGGGACATTCAAAACAAGGAAAGTGTGAACTTTATTTTGAGACGGAGAGTGTATTAACTAATCCCTCACATTCAAAAAGTAGTTAATGTTTATAAGGTCATGTCCACAAAAATAATAGAATGGAACTTTTAGGCTTTTAGCTGTTAGGACTTGGGACAGATTTCTGGAATGCTAGGTAGTACCATAGTGTTGTAAGGTACGTGAGGAAGATCTACTAACCAGATATAAAACAGTTCATCCACTTCTTGTGTCTGGACCCTACCCATCAGCTCAATCTGCAGAAACCCACCAATGCAAAGAATAGGTTCAGGCAGCTTGAACACCTGCAAGCAGTTCTCCTGCAAACCCAAAAAAGTCATTTCAGTTGGTGTTTCATTTTCATTCTCAGAGTAGTATTGTAAGATCTCATTAATGAAATGGAGATTGTTTTAGAGCTTGCTTGGGATAACAAGGGTGTTTGGGGTCGTGTTTGAAAACTGTTTCTGTGCTTCTGCTTTGCTAAAATGCACTTTAGCTTGTTTTGCAATCTGCTTCTGTTTATAGCTTATGGCTCTGTAAGTCTGAAATGGAATGCAGAAGTGTTGAAGTCTTTTTCAACAAAGCTAAGACTAAGTATTTTCTGCTTCTACTTGTAATTTTTTGCCTTTTCAGGAATCTACCATACTCTCAGAAATTTGAGAAATTACAAGAGTACTTCAAGATTACATGATTATCATCGGCGCACACAGAATTTCAATGTTTTTACAAGAACACTTTAAGATTGCATATTAATCACAAATACGCCTTAAAATCGGGAGTCCATGTAAACTAAAACTTCCCTTGGAGTAATACTCAGAGATTATGAGGTTCAAAAGAACACTGTATTCATTTTCACTATTGAGCATGTGCAAGAACCAAAAGAACTGAAAATAAAGTTGGATAGAAGACTACCAAAATGCAAAAAAACCCACCTGACTCATTGGGAAATCCTGTGAAGTGTAGGTCCACACAAACTTATCATCAACTGGCAGCTGTGTAGGCAATTCCAAACTCAACATTTCAGTAGAGGATTTGGGATGGCCCACTCGAAACCGGACAGATTTTGCTGAGTATATGGGATTGCCAGGTTGAAAGAAGGCTGAACAGAAATTTCAGTTTACAGCAATAAAAAAATTTATGATATAAATAGTAACCGTGTGATAGAAGTGTGTATCCAAAATAAAGAAAATACCTTCAAACGGTTGTATTCTAAATTCAGTCACAACACCAAAGTCGGCTTTTAACTTGTATGTTAAAGTCTCGGGCACATCAGGATTACGCTGTCCTTTACTCGACCAATATGAGGCCCTACGCACGTATGAATCCCTTGGATATAAAGTATTACTTATACTTTCAAGAGGGAAATTGTCTGTACTTGAAGCCCCAATTGCATGATCAATAAACTCGGATGGAGGTGATGCCAGTATTGTCTCAATAGCTTTAAGTAAGGAAGCATAAACCTTATGCTCTGTCTTGAGGGTCGCGAATTCAGAACTACTAGATCCAACAGATGATTCAGACGGTCTACAACCTCGTTCAGGTATATGTGCAATGCTTGAAAGTTGAGGAAACTTTCTCTCACACACTTGCTTGGAAATCCCATTTTCAATCACTGCAAATATGTCGGCGTTTAATGTTGTGTCTAATTTATTAGTCCCTCTATTCCCGCACATAGCTTCAGACTTTCATTTTTGGGATGTCCCAAATTAGATCCACATTTCCACATTTGGTTAGTCATTTGAAGCAAAAGTCTGAAATACTCTGAACTACATTTCCCAAAACACTCAACTTTTCATACTCATCCCATTTTTCCTAAACAATCACCTTTTCTTATATCAGCTACCTGCCTATACTCACCCCACTTTTCTTAACGACCAACCTTTTCTTAAACATATCAATGTTTCTTAACACACTCACCTTTTTTACCCACCTCAATTAAATACAAGGGCAATATGAGGACGTCAACGAAAAAAAGTCTGTTGTAGCACTGGAAAAAAAACTGAACCTGCCTCTAATACCTTGTAGTCAAACAGTACGAGACAAAGGGAGTATTAGGTATGTGATAGGGAATCAAGTACTCCCTTTGTTTCCTTAAAACAGTCATGTTTCATAAGCTTGTTTTAAAGTAATTTGCACAAAACAGAATAACAAAGAATTTAAATGTGATTTTTAGTGACTAAAATTTGATAGATTTAGACTTAGTTAAAAAACAAATACATTTTTTTAAATGTATGACTCCATGAACTTGAAAATTTGTACCTTGCAAAGAATTCAAAACAAGAATAGTGTGTGACTAAACTACAAGAGCGAGAATATGAAATTTGAGACAACAGGCAAGGGTAAAACATAATGTGCAATGCATTTATGCATTTGACAAGCAACAATTGAGCGTAAAAATAAAAAAAAGCTTAATTCTTACTAAACTGACGCCATAAATGTGACACAGCTCCGGCATGAACCACATCAGCTGAATCACTTAAGCACAAAAATATGTTCACTGTCACATCCGTGTCAAGCCATTGCATACAATCAATTGTAGTTTCCATTCCTCGTGATCTCAAACAAACACTTATGCCCCTAGAGAGAAATGAGACCATGATCAAATAAACCATCATACACGACAAACCATTACATAAGTGCAGAAATTAGGGCTGCTGTACTAGTATCAGAATGCTCGCCAAAATTCAATCTTGTTGTGCCCTGCGTTCTTGGCATAAGCATAACTGATAACTCCAACATTTACGAGGGCGAGATTCCATCATTGGACCCATCTTAATAAATACTCCATAATAATATATACCAATTCTTTTAAAAGCTTATAATGACAACGACGAATAAAAAGTAAATAAAGTTACAAATATTACTTGAAAACATTTCTTGCTGAGGATTGTGAAGCAAAGTCGTCAATGACAGCTTCGAAATAAACATTTCTCTGTATCCCATCAAGATTCAACTATTTTATCACCTTTGGAACAATAAAAAAGACAAATGAATACAACAAAAACCATATTAGGTTTTTTGGGTGATGTTTTGTTTGAAATCTAATTTCTTTTTAACATATTTGTTAGAATTCCCAATCTCAATTCTCACATTTCATAGAACAAGACTAAAAATTTTCATACAAAATTGCAAATTGCTAAATATGCCTTGCATATACGGCTTACAGCTTTACCTTAAAAATTTAAAACTTCACATTTCAGTAAATTTAAGAAAGATAAAAACCAACAAACTGCACAGACAAAAAAAACTAAAATATTGAACGAATTGTAGAAATTGATCCGGGAAAAATCACTGATTAAGCAAAACTAAATTAATTCCGATTTCTGAATTTTGAATCTTTTGATCACACAAAGTTCGCAAACTAATCTCAGTGATCTGATTACAAAGCTGGTTTTTTTATTTATTTGAAAAATAATAAATAATTAAATACCTGATTTCGCAGCACGGCAGCCCAGAAGTTGGTATACGCTCGTCGCCGGTCGCCGTCGAATAAAGGGCTCAGCCGGGTAGCGTCGAAAATTATCCCATTCGACAAGCAATACAGAGGCAATTAAAAGAAAAATACGAGTAAAACAGAAGAAATAAAAGTGGATATTATGTTACTTTTTTTGGAAAGAGAAAGATTTTAAAAAATAGAATATCAAAATATTACTCCCTTCGTCCTCATTTATACTGTCTACTTTGGTTTACGATCTTTGACTGAACTTATTTTCATATAAATTTATTATCAATAGATTAATTTTGAAAAACAGTTTTGAAATATGTTATTTTTGTAATATATATTCATATAAAAATGGAGATATTAATGGTCAAAGTGTTGCATTGGAGACCGTGAAAAGTCAAATGGGAAGTTAATTTTAGAACGGAGGGTGTATAATAAATAATAATTGGGAACTAAATTAGTAATATTTGATATGTAGGGACTAAATATGTAAAATGACCTATAACTTGAGACTTTTTATGGAATTTAATCTAAAATAAATTAGAACAAATATTCTAGTACTAACGAAGTATGATACTCCATAATTGGTTTCATGAAATGAAAACAAAAAAAGGAATTTAAAATTAAAAAGAAAATAAAATGGTTAAAATTTGTGTATAAGAAAGAATAATTTTATCAAACATTGCAATTTCCTAAAAATGAAGAGCTCTTAATTTTATTTTGAAACCCAACTTTTAGAAAGAAGTGTCAAAATCGGACTCCCAAATTGGATTTTCCGCAATATGTTTTTATGGTCCTTAGCTTCATGATCTTAATACATAAATTATTATGAATAGATGTAACGAGTCTGGTAAAAAAATAAATCCTACCAGTACTAAATATATGAAAAGGTCTATATTTCACGTGTAAACCAAAAAACAACACGTGTAAACCAAAAAACAACAATAACACAACTCTAGATTTTCTTAATAATAAATATTGGTTTTGATATTTATGATTTATCTTTTGAAATCCTTGTAATTGAATTCATAACCCCTTGTTATCATTGTCAAATATCCATTCAAAGTAAAGAACAAGTATTGATTTTCATTCTCAGTTTGTCCCAAGTGAATATGATGATGGTCTTGCAAATATGTAACCTGTTTTACATTATGACAAGTCAAACAAAGCTAATCCTTTGAAGATTTTTCGACTAAACAAACCATTTGAACAAAACACCACTGGCAAATCTTCAAAGAAAAAGTGGATTTTTAATATTTAAAAAAAAAATCAGACTTTGAACTGTCTGCTAATGGTTCAATCAAAGTGCAGGTTCAGCAATGAAAAGTGCATATCTACTTCCTCATTTCATCATCCTCTCCCTCTACTGCCCTGGCTCTTTCCGAATCCCGCCGCAACAGAAGAAGTGTGGTAATTTCACTCTGCCACAAACCCTACAAAATTGCACAATGTTGATAGGCATACTTCCAAGTAGGGGGGAGTTCTGGATACATATCACCCTCTCCAAACCCTGCTTTCGTGGGGTTTTACTGGGATAATGAAAGTACTTACGTGCAGCGGATTATCACAGGTTGAGGTTTCAATGCCTTTGGTCCATTCCGTATCCCCCTCTTGTGACGAGAAACCTGCGATTCATTGGCAATAGGTTTGGAGTTTAGCTTTAGCATTTTGAAAAGGTTATCTAATGGTACTTTCAGCGTTTTCAAAATCAATTGTCACGGTAAGGAAGTTATTAGAGGATGAACCTTCTTTTTAGGCACGGCCATTAGTTCCATAGACCCATTGAAGAAAGTGATATCTTGGAATCCGTAACCAATGTTCCCTTGAATCCTTTCTTGATTTTCAGGCAGGGCCATTATTGGTGGCGCTATGGGATTGCCGAAGATGATGCTGTCCATTGGAGCTGGTTGTGCAATGGCGTGAGCAAACTTATGGAAGCCAGATGTGGGTCCCACGTTTTTCCCGTTGCCCCAGCAGCTCCTTAGTGCGGCTACCCTGAAGGCCATTTCCCTACAGATTGAACTTCAAGTCCACACTCTCTGCAAATAGAATGAACATCATTTCTTTAGAGAATTTGAGACTCAACACTCAACAGGTCTGAAAGTGAAAAATATATCGAAATACTCCCTTTGTACCATACTAAACTTCCCATTTTTTTCACGGAGATTAACAGAAGTTGAAACGAAAGTGAAAATGTATGCAGAGAAGAGAAAAGTAATGTCCACTCAAAGCTTTCCTTAAATATAATGGGAGGTTTATTTTAGGACAAATCAAAAAAGAAAGTGAGAAGTTTATTTTGGGAGTATAAGCTAAACCTAAACATCACTACAAAACAAAGATTCAAACTTTAGCCTCCTGGTTTTGAAGACCAGTAATTAGATACTACCTCCGTCCTATTGTCTTTGTCCACTTTTAACTTTTGGAACTGTTCATCTAAGCACTTTGATTCATCAAATTCTTTCAATGTGTAAGCCTAAATATAGTAATGTGTGATCTTGTTTAATTTGTCTTAACATATAGATTATTAATATATAATTTCTATAATTTTTTAATATACAAATTATAAGATAAAATGGATTAAAGAAGTGCATTGGATGGTGTGCCAAAAGGTAAGTGGACAAAGACAGTGGGACGGAGGGAGTAGTATATAAATATCCAAAAAGGACACAGGCAAGAATATGAAGCGTACTTCTGATTTTTTTTACCACAATTAAGTCAAAACCAGATCGATGATTTGAGGCCCCAAAAAACAAAAAAAAGACAAAGTTTAATAACAAGAACAACATACCATTAAAATCACACAAACGGGGTCGGGGGATGGGAGTATGCATACCTTACCCCTGCCTCAACAATGCCCCTGACCAACCAAGCATGGGAGGAGGTAAGGAGGCTCCATACGGCCTCGAATCAAGTATTTTTAAGTACCTTGAGCACAAACTCAAGTATTTGTAAGTGCCTTGAGCACAAAATTGCATGAGAAGTTAATTGCAGTGAGCTATCTCCCACCCGAATTTCATCCAATTACTACTTTTGTGTAAGCTTTTAAGAGTGTATTGTGCTAAAGTGAAATAAACAGCTCGAATGAATTTCATTTAAGATTTTAAAAAATATTCTTGACACATTTGATTTTTTAAACCCATTTCGTGTTAAAACGCAAAAGGAAACATTGTGTTCACTCTTTAGCCCAATATTAGGAGCTGCTGGTTGGCAGTTACTCGATGCACAATCCAAAGTCACATTAAAATAAAATCTATCCCACCCTCAAAATGATCAAGTCAGTCTCAGAAGTCATTTGCATTAGACAAGAAAATCTTTATTTGTCTTAGACAAGAAACAATTAACGAGTTCTTTTCAGAAATGCTTATAGTTTTCTTGAATTACACAGTATAAACTTTGGGGATAATTGAATATACGGAGTATTTAAAATACATCTATGTTTTTTCTTGAAATTGAGGAGTATCAAAAACGGATTTCCAAATACGAAATCAGAAATGAAATACTCATCTAGAATAATTCAAAACATCTGATGCAAAATAAACCAGATGCATAGAAAAATAAATGCAAAATAACTCAAATATTTCAGATTCAAAATTGAGGTTAAAGACTTACCGCTTTGGATGCTATTTCGGGCGGAATATGGACTTAAGGTCCGGAATCGGATGGCGGACGGCGGTGGGGAACTGGGGCCGCTGCTCTGTGGGCGGTGGCGAATGGTGGCGCAACGCGCTGTGCTCTCTGAGCCTCTTAACTCCGGTTCTCGATTGCGTTGGCGTGGGTTGCGTCGATCCAAACTAAGATGTTTGGGCTTGACCTCACATATGGAACGCGAACTTAGGCGGCCCAATTTGATTCGGGTATTACTCCGATTCTTCTAAAACAAATCGACACATACTCCCCACGGAGTGTTATTTTCTTTTTAAAAAAATGATCGTCTAGAATTTAGTTGTTTTATTTTTTATTCCCTTTGTTTGTCAAATCTCTCTCTCTTACATTTTTTTACCTTTCATCATACTTTTATTTTTATAAAAAAAGTGTTTACTCTAATTAGCTGTTACTCTATCTATCACATTATACTTTTTTTATTTTCTAATAATCTATTCATGACATTTTATTTTTACTCATCAAATCAAAGGTAAAATTGAAATATCAACACCAAATAATATTTCTTTATTTTGACCTAAAGTCAATATAGGAATGGTTTTTCTAGACGGAGGGAGTATAAGAAAATTCTTCTTTCTTTTGACAACATTTATTGTCATATTATGATAATGAGGCCGGGCAACGTTCTATGAGGAGGTGGCAAGGAGATTTAGGAAAAATTAGAGGGTGGGAATCATTAACTTCTCGATCAAACCACTTTAGCCTCATTGTCGATCATAACATGACATTATTGAGTGTTGTCAAAAGAAGGGCCGGGGCTGTATAAAATGAGTTTAAAATATCAAGTCCTTCAAATAATTTTTTTCATTCATTTATGTCAGGGATGTCCGTACATCATTTCATCGTAAAATATTTTAGACGATCATTATGATTTGTTTATTTAATATAGAAATCAAACCACTAATAATTCTATTTAAAAAAAAATTGAAAGTAAAAATTAACAATTAAATCAGGATGTATAATGCATATAGAGTTAACACTTTTAGGGCATTTATTTGTAAGCAATTCTTCTTGTGGTATATGCGTATGTGTTTCATGAGCATATACACAAATAAACATATTTTCAAACTCTTATAACATTTCAAAGTGAGTCACATATAGTTGCTCATATGTTGATGAAAAATGGTCCAAATATATATATTCTACCATTGCGGCATATATGCATGTCCGATCCTACAATGCTCATTGATTGACTCTTTTCTTACAATGAATATAATATATATGAATTCTCGCTATTCTAAAATAAAGTTTCATGGTTAATGGAATATACTTCTTTTGTCTTAAAAAAAAACTTTTCACTTTGATTGAGAGGAGAATGAAATTTCCTTAGAGAAATTTACTTAAATAATACTAAAACATAATGACCTTCCCTAAATAGTACCACATGCGTTTTTCTTCCCAATATAGCACTTTTAGTCATTATGCATTAGTCATTATTCAAACAAATATTCGCCATCACTGGACATTATGGACATTATTAAGTGTTATTTAGGGAATAAAATAGTTTAAGTGTTATTTAGGGAAATGACTTAAGTTTTAGTGCTATTTAGTGCAAATATTTCATTTCCTTAACAAGAATTAAATCTTTTCCTTAGAACAAAAGTAAATTTTTTAGATGAAACAAAGGTGAGAAGCTTTTAATGATCGAGATCTGAGAGAGTAGTAAAAGTAAAAGTTGTAGCTCGATTTTGTATAGAAAGAAATTGTGCAAATCACTAAGACTATGTTTGGTTCAAGGAATTCAAAAGGGAAAAGAAAAGAAAATGAAGTGGAAAACAAGTTTTCTTGTTTGGTTAGAAAGGAAAAGTGGAAGGAAAAGAAAGTGAGAAGGCAAAATATACCAAGTGGAAGGAAAACCAAATTCCTCCCATTTTGGTGAGGAAAATGAGAGAAAACCATTTTTTTTTCTTTTCCTTCAAAATTCCTTGTACCAAACATAGTGTAAAAGTATAGATGGGCCTTAATTATTTGAGATAAAAAAAGAAGGAAACTATGTTAAATAATCTTACATTTTCGTGGTCTGTCAAAATTAGTACAAGTTTGCAATGTGCACGATGCATATTTGGTAAATTCTATGGCAGATTTAATAAAATCACCATGAACTTACATATGAGCAAAATAAATGTTTCTTTACTACTTAAATAAGCATAAAAAAATTTATGTGAGAAGACAACAAAATTGATATGCACTTAAATTGCACTAAAGAAGCACTCCACATAAAAAAATATATGAAAAAGTTAAACTGAACTAAAATCATAAAAGGAAGATCTTTTGAATTAGAGGTGAAAATGTGATGGTTATTAGCAGACTGCAACATGGGATGCTGGCTTATATTTGGAACCCTATCTATAAAATGCCAAATGAATGAATAAGAAATTTGGGCAAATGCCATTTTAGTGCAATTGTAACGGAATCGGACCAATACCATAATATATCTGCCATTTTCTAAATATTCGTTCCCTCCTTTCAAAAATTATCTTCATGTTATATGTTATGATGTTTGACTACAATTATTTTTGAATTGATCTTTTTATATGAAAAAAAAGTGTGAAACTAAAACATAAAAAGTACTACATATTTAAAAACTACATCAAAATACCTACAAAATTAAAAGTGACATGACTATATTATATTATTAAATAGATAGCGAATCGATGGGGCCAACTTAACCATACATGGCTAACATTATGTAACCATCAAATGAAAAGTGCTAACAACTTGCCCTGGTTTATCACATAAGTTAAAAAGTTCGAAAATGATAGTATTTGGACTGGTTTGAGAAGAGCACTATTGTTTATGTTGGTATTTTAGATAAAAATTGAATGGTTTTGATTTTTGAAAATATTAAAATTAAACCGTGCCGTTAAATCGTTTTTTTAAACGACGATTCTAACCTCAAACATTGTTATTGCTAAATAAGGCTTTTGTATGTTTTTAACTCCGAAGATGTTATCAAGGTTGAAATCAACAAGAAAATCACATACAAAATTTAATCGTGTGATATCGTAAATAACGTAATTAACTCAAACGAATGAATTTCTAAGCTAGACAAATTACCTGTCACGTAATATAGAATATTAATTTAAATTATTTAAAGTTTAATAAAGATTTCGCAATGGTTTATTAACCCACAAAAGTAAATACTATGAAACTTTATTTCAACTATTTACAATTTAAAAGAAAAATGAATGTAGTTATATTAAATTAAAGGAAAAATTACCCAAAATAATCTCAACTTTACCCGGTTTTTTATAAATAATCCCACCCGTATATTTTTATTTTACTTTTACCAATTTCAAGTTAGTTTCCATTGATTACCTTATTTGTTTTATTATTTTTGTATCATTTTAGTTACATTTCTCATTTTTTCATTTTTTATATCTATTATTTTTATTTTTTAAACTAAGACTAATCTTTAAAAAAGGAAAAAGAAATGACGATGGAGGTAGAAAGTAATTTAAAAAATTTAAATGAAAAATTTTAAAAAAATGAAAATTCATCAAAAATAATCCCAACTTTCATTTTGTTGCCTAAAATGGGCATTTTCGTTAACCCTCCGTTAGAAATTTAACGGCGACCCAAAACTGACAAATTTTAGTAAAGTTGGGATTATTATGCATCACAGTAAAAGGTGAGATTATTTTTGAAAGACCGGGTAAAGTTGAGATTATTTTGGATAATTTTTCCTAAATTAAATTATTAGAGACGTTGGCTCCCTCAAACAAGTAATTTGCGTTATTAGATTTTAAAAAATGAATAATCTAGTTAACTTCAAGTCTATAGATTTTCCTACCAAACCTTAACATTGTCGGGTATATTTTATTTTTCTCAAATATAAGTACCACAAAAAAAGGTGATGCAATCTTTAAATTATTTTGTCCCACACTAGCAAATACTACCTCAGTCCTAGAGTATTTGTCCACTTTCATTTTTATACATCATCCAATACACTTCTTTAATCCATTTTATCTTGTAATTTGTATATTAAAAAATTATAGAAATTATATATTAATAATCTATATGTTAAGACAAATCAAACAAGATCACACATGACTATATTTAGACTTACACATTGAGAGAATTTGATGAGTCAAAGTGCTTAGATAAACAGTTTTAAAAGTCAAAACTGAACGAATATCCGGGACAGAGGGAGTATTATATACTCGCTCACTCCTCAGTAATCCTCAAAATACAATATTCCTTTTTTCAAAAAATCATAGTTTATTTTTAATTTTAAGTACCATTGACTCTATTACAAAGTAATATTCGTTCAGACTATTCTCAACATAATGACGCACAAAGAGCTACCTTATGACTCAAACATGCATTACAGGGAGTGAGTTTACCACCACTATTGCGAGAAGTTCAAAAAAAGGACGATTCACATGACATTGCTTAGCAATGTCATGACCCAGGGATCGTACGATGCTCCATTCATTTTCTACTCCTCTTAACCCCCTTGGTAAACCCCTCACCTGAACCCACCGCCCCCCCCCCTTCAATTGCATTCCCCAATTTTAATTGACTTTAGAGTCAAAATTTTAGCTCCAAAGTCAAAACTTGAGGATGCGATTGAAGGCAGTGGGTTCGGGACGGGGCGGGTGGGGGAGGGTTTACCAAGATGTTAAGAGGAGTAAGAACTGTCAATTTAACGAGCGGTGCATCGTAAGCCCCCGGGTCATTCCTTGACATTACTAAATTTAAATTGCTTAGATGTCTAGAAAATTGGGGTGCAAAAAAATCAAAGTTTATTAATACACAAAAAATGCCTGGAAGTACACACTCTATATATAATGTCGATTTGATCTTGTGTGTGTGTGTGTGTAATTTTTGCAGTATAATCAAATTTAAGCAGTATTGTGCTTGAAATAAGTGCAATACACTCATGGGATGGATTGCACTGTGAATAGAATAAAGTCATAAAAAAGAGAACACATGCAGGTAGACATACTCCACGCCATTTTTTATTTATTAGGAAAAGGATAGTAAACAAAGCTCAAGTACAAGAAGAGTAAAGAATAAAGGGATTGTCTTTCTCAAACAACACATAATAACATACTCCCTCTGTCTACTTAAAAAAATTGGTTGGAATATTTGCACTAAATAGTACACTACTAAAGTATAAGTTATTTTTTAATGTAAGACTTAAACTTTTTTATTTTCTAAATAACACTTAGGGGCTGTTTGACAACTTCTGAATAGGTAAGTGATGAACCAATAAGAGGTCTGAACCATTAAGTGCTGAACCAGTAAGAGGTCTGAACCATTAAGAGCTAGTATATTGCTTAACTATTCAGAGGCAAATGTCTGATCATTTCAGATAAGAGGTCTTAACCATTCAGACTCTGTATAATACTTAACTATTTAGAGACAAATCTCTTAACCATTCAGACATCTGAACCATTAAGAGGCTGCAACAAACATTCTGAACCATTAAGTGCTGAACCATTCAGACATCTGAACCATTAAGAGGCTGAAACAAACAGTCCCTTAATAATTTCCAGAATGAGAAATAATGTTCAGTGATGGTTAATATTTACTTGAATAATGATTAATAGATAATTATTGAAAGTACTAAATTGGAAAATAAAAACATATTATACTGTAGTACTATTTAGGGAAAGTTATTATTATGTTTTAATATTATTTAAATAAATTTCTCAACACTTAAACGATCAACAAAATAAATTTTAATTAGTGAATGTTATAAAAAATTGATATATCAAGACCCTTTTGTATATTTCAAAATGAACATATTTTAAGCTTGTAAAATTTGGCAAGCTTAAAATATAAAGGGATTATATACTATAGAGTACAAGACATTTGATTGTTTCGAATTACTCCGATCCGTATTATTTACGTTGCCAAGTTACCATAATTGTTAGTGAGAGTCAATAGCATTAAAAAACTATAATCATTAGTTAAAAATAGAGATAAGTCAAAATTCAACTTGACCAAAAGAATTGTTGAACAAGAGAACATTATAATAGGGAGTATTTGTATTTGTATGGTTAGTTAAATATTGCTATCGGAATAAAAATAAATTTTCCAAAATAGAAACAGAAAATATTTTAATATATCCGCCTCTCCCCATATTCTTTCCTTCCAAGTCCAACTACCCATAAATAGTCACCGTTTGGGAGCGCCTCCGCCGCGCGTAGTAAATATCGCTCACGGATTCCCCGGCGGCGCGTGCACTTCGACCTCTCCTCAGTTCTTCCCAAAAGTGCACTCGTCAGCCACTCGGACCCACCCTGCGTATTAAGAATTGCCCGAAGCCGCCGGGATTTAGAATTGGTGATCTTATAAGAACGGCCAAATAAAAGAAATTAAAGAATTAAAAAAAAGGAATTACTTCTCTTCTTCTTCTTCTCCGTCTTGGGTTGACGGGAAAAATGGCGATTTCTTCCCGGTTGCCGCGATTCTTGAGCGCGAGGACGAAAAAAACAAATCTTTATTTCGCGGCGGCGACCGCCGTCCTCTGTTCTGCGTTCTACCTCATCGGGATCTTGCAACACGGCGGGGCATCCAGTCGCCGTTTATCCGCCGTCACGGTCCTCCCGTCGCCCAACTGCGACCTTCACACCAAGAACTCAATCGGGAAGAGCGATTCCTCCGGCGGCGCGTTTCTCGACTTCCACGCCCACCACGCGGCGGAAGACCTCGTCTTCCCGGTGGAGACGGCGGCGGAGGTGAAGTGGTTCCCGGCGTGCGGGGCGGAGCTGTCGGAGTACACGCCGTGCGAGGACACGGAGCGGTCGTTGTAATTCGACAGGGACATGCTGATATACAGAGAGAGGCACTGCCCGGAGAAGGGGGAGGCGTTGAAGTGCCGAATTCCGGCGCCGTTCGGGTACCGGCTTCCGGTGCGGTGGCCGGAGAGCCGTGACTCGGTTTGGTACGCCAACGTGCCTCACAAGCACCTGACGGTCGAGAAGGCCGGGCAGAACTGGGTCCGGTTCAAGGGTGACCGGTTCACGTTTCCCGGCGGTGGGACCATGTTCCCACGTGGAGCTGACTCGTACATCGACGACATCGGCCGGCTCGTCAACCTCAAAGACGGGTCTATCCGGACCGCCATTGACACCGGCTGTGGGGTATGTTTATTCACTAATCCCCTTCTAAATTGCTTTTTAATTATTACTCCGTAGGATTATTAAGAGTGTTTATAATTGTTTGATTTGGACGAAGATTTATTATCTTGTCATATCACGTGAGAGGAACCCTTTTTATTTCCTTGTACTTTGTCATATTCGGATCTTGTTTATGTTGTTTCATCTTCATATGTTTTTTTTGGTACATGGGAATTCTTTATACCCCTTGTCCATTTTTTATTTTTTCAGTTAAAATTGTAAATTTTAATCCCAAATTGAATAAAAATAATATATTATATTGATCCAAAATTAATTTTATTAGATTTATTATATGAAATATTTTTAAAATATTATTTTGTCTAATTATATATACAATGTATATTTTATTTAATTATGGGTAAAAGGTTAAAAATAGTTGATTGAAAAAAGTAAAAAATAGACAAATACTCAAGAACGGAGGTAATATGAATTTTGACAACCAACGAACGACCAACAATAATAAAATTATCTAAATTATAAATTAAAAAGTTGTTGTTCTTACATGATCTTACGATCCACATGCAAAATGTGAAACTTCTCATCATACTTTTTCATAATGTGTGAAGTGAGTCTTTTCTTTTATTTTAAAAAAGGTCCAATATTTTTATGATATTAATGCATTATGGTCCATAAAATGAGTATGGACTTTAGGACAACTTAAGAACTTGTCTTCTTGAGAAGGTTATTAATACTTTTTTGCAATAAATAAAAAATTAAGCAAATGTACTCCGACGATATTACTCCGTCCAACTTAATTATTTCCAATTCAATATATTAATTGAGAGAATGAATTGTACGTAGGTTGCAAGTTGGGGGGCTTACTTGCTCTCAAGGGACATACTGCCCTTATCTTTTGCACCAAAGGACACACACGAAGCTCAAGTTCAGTTTGCCTTAGAGAGGGGCGTCCCGGCCACCATTGGCCTCCTCGCTTCCAACCGCCTCCCCTATCCTTCCCGCGCTTTCGACTTGGCCCATTGCTCCCGTTGCCTCATCCCTTGGGCCCAATACGGTAATTAACTATTTCAATCAAAAACTCAAATTTATTCCTCTACTATTTCTGATTTGATTTAGTCTGATCTAATTATAATAAAAATAAGTAATTAGTAGAAAAAATAAGTTGAACCCGGGCCAAAAATGACATGTTCATATTCGCATAAATGTATTCAGATGGACTGTACTTGATCGAAGTGGACCGGATTTTACGGCCCGGAGGATACTGGGTTCTCTCCGGGCCACCGATCAACTGGCAGGCCCAGTGGAGGGGCTGGAACAGGACCAGGAAAGATCTGAAGGAAGAACAAGATGGGATTGAGGGCCTTGCCAGAAGCCTGTGCTGGAAAAAGCTGGCCCAGAAAGGAGACCTTTCCATTTGGCAGAAGCCCACTAACCACCTCCACTGCAAGGCCAACAGAAAGGTCTTCAAGAAACCCCTCTTCTGCCACGGAGGCCAAGATCCTGACACCGCGTGGTATACCAAGATGGAAGCCTGCCTGAGTCCCCTGCCGGAAGTTTCTGGCATTCGAGAAATTGCCGGCGGGGCCCTCGTGAAATGGCCCGAGAGGCTGACCGCAACGCCCCCGAGGATCCGCTCCGGGAGCGTCGGCGGAGTGAGTGTGGAGGGATTTCGGGACGACACGGCGTTGTGGGAGAAGAGAGTATCGCATTACAAGCGCGTGGATTCGCGGCTGGCGGAGCGCGGAAGGTTCCGGAACGTCCTCGACATGAACGCCGGGCTCGGAGGGTTCGCGGCTGCGCTCGTCGGCGACCCGGTTTGGGTCATGAATGTGGTCCCCGTCGAGGCCAATGCCAGCACTCTCGGCGTGATATACGAGCGGGGTTTGATCGGGACTTACCACAACTGGTGCGTGCACTTCCATGTTACTCTCTTTGTGTCATATTAACGTTCTATTATGACTTTTTTCAAATACGTTGAAAAGTAAATGAATGTAGACACAATGTATGTCTATATAGATTTATTTATTTTTCAGTGTATCTAAATGTTAATTCAGGTGTGAAGCCATGTCAACTTATCCAAGAACCTATGACTTCATTCACGCGGATGGCGTTTTTAGTCTTTACCAGGACAGGTAAGAACATGCCTTACCCGAGTAAATTTTTTGGTGTTTGATTGGTCCAAAATAACAAAATTTTCAATTATAACGACCAAATAAATGGAACGAGTTCTTATAAAAAAGAATATGAGGAATAATCCTGCAGTAATTTATTGTTTCTGGACCGGTACAATTATAATTCAACATGTTATTTGTGTTTTTCAACAGATGCGAGATCGAAGATATTATGCTGGAGATGGATCGGGTATTGAGGGCGTTAGGGAGCGTGATCATCCGAGACGACGTGGACGTGATGGGGAGCGTGAAGAGCATCGCGGACGGGCTTCAATGGGAGAACCGAATGGCGGATCACGAAGACGGTCCTCTGGTGAGGGAGAAGATTCTGATTGCAACCAAACTGTATTGGACAACCCCTTCTTCTTCTTCTTCTTCTTCTTCTTCTTATGACAAGAACCAATAACAAGGGGGTCATATACAAGTTCATAGTCTGGATTTCTATTGGGTTTAATATTTTTTTTGTTCATAGTTTTTTTCTTTAAATTATTATGTATAATTTTGTATTGTTTCATTTTCCAAAGAGGTTCAACTGCATGCACAAACAGTTGTTTTCCTTTGTCATTTTACAAGCATGTTGCAATTTTATTCGTGAGAATAAAATGATTAAAATCTAATAGATGTAAGTTTTAATTAGTGGAACATTGTGTGGGTAAAATGGACCATTCCCCATTAAAAAAAGAATCATGCACTGAGCTAAAAAAACAATATCAATTGTTCACAAAACTGCTACCTATATAATTCCTCCACGATAAAAATGATGGTAAATATCAATATATCATCTCAATATCGTGAATTGCTCTCCGTTATTACATGTCAATTTTTATAATTCATTGTGAAATTTTCACTGAATAGGACTAAAACATTTCCCAATGTTGGATTTAAATTTTTTTATTTTCTAAATACGACTTAATAATGTCTAGAGAGAAGAATAATGTCCAAGTGATCCTGGACATTTAGTTGAATAATGACTAATAGATTATTATCAATGGTCCTACATTGGTAAATAAAAACATATGGTCCTATATTGAGAAAGTTATTACTCCGTATATTTTAGTCCATCTAGGTAAATTACCCTAATTCATTTAGTACTTAAATAATTTTAAATGTAGAAAGTACATAGATGTATTTTTAAAACTACTTTCACTAAACATTTAAAATGCTTTGATCTTTTTTATGCAATGTGGTTTAAAAAAATAATCGGTGCATGTCATTTTCTTAGTGAGGTATATTTAAAAGTGACTAGGAATGTGAGATTTCAACCAATAAAAAACAGTCCAGTCAATATGTGGCACGAAAGTGGAGTTGCATGTCATGCAATGGAGAGTCATTGTTTTTATCAATTTTATATTTTTTTTCACATATTTCAATTATTTAAATTTATTTTGTTTATATTTTTTTCAAATAAAAAATAGATATACTCCTCTAAAAAATATTTCATATTTAACAAAAAAATTAAAGTAAAAATTTTTTAAAAAATAACAAAATTTAAAAAAAGGAAAGGGAGTTGCCTCACACATGACACAGAGAAACATGTGAAATTCTTCTGTCTTGCCTCATCCACACGTGGTGTATCTGATGTGGCAGGGCGTAGGAGTAATTAGGGCTGGGTCGGGAAAACCAAAAACCGAAAACCAAACCAAAATCGATCGAAACGAGCTAGAAAAAAACCGAACCGAAAAAACCGAAACCGAATGTAAAAAAACCGAACCGAACCGAACCGTTATTGTTTGGTTCCGTTTTGGTTTTTACTTTGAAAAACCGAACCGAACCGAATAAACCGAACTTATTTATATGCTTCATTTTATTTATATGAGTATATGTGATATGTATAAAAGTCATATAAACAAAAATGCAAATAAATTACTAGTCGATTAAAGTTTTTTTCTTAACTATTAATTAAACATTTTAACCATATTATAAACTTTAAAAAATCTAAGAATATAAACACCAATAACTAATCCTAATATAGAATTATATAACATTAAAAATTAAAATGAGTAGTTAACATATTTACATAAAAAACTTTGATGTTATAATGAAAATGAAAGTATTATTCACTTGACACATATTTTGTATGTAAAATTGAACTGATGAGAATACTAACCTTCCGTTCGGCTTTTTTGTGTGTAAAAATCAAGCAAAAAAAACAAACCCAAACTTACGTTTTGTTATTACTTCGTCGAGTTAGTATTTATACAATTTTTAATGCTTATAAATATTTACTTTTATAAACCGAAAAAACCGAAAAAAACCAAAATAAAAACCGCATAAAACCGAACCAAATAACCAACGGTTTACATATTTTTTATGCAAAACCAAACCGAACCGAACCGCCAACTTACCTTCCGTTTTGTCTTTGGTTTTGGGTAAAACCGAACCGCCAAAACCGAACCCACCCCTAGGAGTAATTCACCACGCCGTTGCACATGCTCTAATGCAATACACATGGATCCAGCCCGGTAGTAATTAAGCTCTTTCTATTTTCTAATAAAACATTTTAAATTTCATGGAAAATGAGCTTGTTTAGTAATTTTGTGCGAGTTCTTAATAACTGGATTCTTTTTGTATATTGTGTTCAACTTTAAGATACTACGTTCTTGGAATCCTGATACTCGATATTTGAAAATCGCTTTAGAATCAATCATTTGACCAAAAATATTATTTTAATTTTAACACTGTCTTTAAATGAGTAATATTGAATTAGTTTTTAAATACGAAGAACACAAATTCATTAATTACTATCCATATTGCTACTCTTACCTTTATCCATTAATTACTATCAATATCTATATTTTACTTCATTTTTTGCAATGACCAAGAACAAATATAAAAAGTCATTTTTACTTTTCTTAAATTTGGATATAAAATCAAAATGGAAAAATAATTTTTTGACAAAAATCCTTTATAATTTTGTTTGAATGATGCATGCATAATTAATTCTGAAAAGGTACCCTACCATAATTATATGACATACTCCCTCCGTTCTAAATTATTTGTCACATTTCTAATACCGAGGCAAAATATCAAGTTTTTTCAATTCATTGTATTTACATATTGGTAAAGAAATAAAAAATAAAAATTACATATCAAAAAACTACATGAAAAGTTCTTCGAAATAAGAGGTGTCAAGAATATTTTATTTTATCAAATACTCAATGAAAACATAGAAATAAATAAAAGTTCCCGCGACTGTTGAAAAAGTAAATGTGATGAATAATTTGGGACGGAGGGAGTATTTGTATTTAAAAATGTTTTAGAATACACTATACATTACTCCATATTTTTCAAATGAACATTAGGATTGAAAATTAATATTTTGTTGATTTAAAACGACTATTTTATTAATTAAAAATAATACTCCGTACTCCAATTGGTTTGTTGTGCCTAGCTCTACTTCACCCCGCGCCCCGGGGTATAGTATATATATTCTCAGGATACCCGGGTTCACTCGAGCGTAGGCTTCTATCCGAACTCGGCGGGAAGTTAAAACTCAAAACCCTAACCGAAAATAATCTGCGGAGTGCGGATCAAGCGTCATGGAAGCGGAGGACAACCAGTCGGGGACGATGATCGACGACATGTGTTCGAGCAGCGGCGCCGACGACGCCAGTCTTCGTCAGCCGGCGATATGTGGCGGCGAACTGCTCGACATCGAGGCATAGGCTGCCCTATACAGCGGCCGAACTAAAATCAGGCGTCTGCTCTTCATTGCCGACAAATGCAACACCACCGCAATGCAGTTGGAGGCTCTAAGGATGGCTTATGAGGAGATTAAGAGAGGCTCGGACACGGTGTCATTCAGTGATGTTGTTAGCAAGATTGATGGCCGTTTGGGGCCCGATTATGGCCTTGACCATGTTTGGATCGAATCCGAGGATCTCCGGGCAGAGAAAAAGAAGAACAGGCTCGAAAATGATCTCAATCCTTATATGGTATGGTACACTCTGTCACTCTCTCTGTATAATCCCAAATTTGATTGAATTAGCTTTCCTTGTGTTTCATAATTTTCTCTTTGTTCTTACAATGTAATATTCTGTTTCTAATTGTTGGAAAAGAATAGCTTCTTAGGTTCTTCGTTTAGTTTAGTTTCGTTATAATCGTTGGTTTACAAATCCAGGTTTCCACATTATGTATCACTAATTTAATGATGAGATGGTGTTTCCAGGATTCTGTTTAGTACTGAGTACTGTAATTTTTATATTATGATTGTAAATATGTTGGTAGAAAAATGTTCCAGCAGCCTTTGGGAAAGATTAAGGCTTAGAAAGAACATCCATTAAAACTTGGGGTGCTAAATTCGTTCTGATATACTCCGTATGTTTGTATATTCGTTCTAATATAAGAATAATATACTACAGAGTAACATTCATTCTCTCTCTTGTTTTATTATTTCTTTTATATTATTATTATTATTATTATTTGTTTTATGGATGAAACTATGTTATGACTTAATTCGTTTGGAATAAGCAGATAATGAGCTATTATATTGTCCTTTGATCTTGTTGGTTACAAAGTTTTAAGTAACTTGCTTGAATTTATAAATTTTAGGATTTAGCACTCAGATATAATATTCTTCGTTTTCTTGTAGTTTAACTGAAAAATGCATAGTTTTTGGGGAATTTACGTAAATAGCACTAAAACATTATGACTTTCCCTAAATAGCATCACATGCACTTTTAGTCATTATCCACTAGTCATTATTCAAGTAAATATTGGCCATCACTGGACATTATGGACATTATGAAGTGTTATTTAGGTAATAAAACAATTAAAGTGCTATTTAGAGAAATGACTTAAGTTTTAGTGTTATTTAGTGCAAATATTTCTAGTTTTTTCCCTGGGTGGGTGTTTTAAGTAGTTTTTGTTGCATGATGGGATTCATGTATGTTGCATTGTCCGTGTTATTTGAAGTACTGTTATTGTCAATTAATCTCTCAAGTGCTGCTATATACATTGAGGACCTCTCACGCTTCTCTTACAGAAAAATTATTCTATAAAAGAGAGCATTAGAATGGGATTCACTGAGTTTGGAGATTTCTATTATAGCCGCGGTCAGCTATCAGATTCTCTCAAAAGTTATAGCCGGACATGCGATTATTCCTCAACATCAAATCATATAATCCATATGTGCTTGAACGTGATTCTAGTTAGCATTGAGATGAGCCAATCTGTACATGTTACAACCTATGCTAACAAAGCAAAGCAAATCCAAGATGCTTTAGATCCTATTACAATGTCCAAACTTTGTTGCGCTCTTGGGTTGGCACACTTAGAGGCTAAAAGATACAAGCTCGCTGCTCGGATGGTATGCTTCTTATTTCTCATTCTGTCTTATTTTTATTCCCAAGCATATACTATTTCCAAAGGTTTGGGGACATTGATGTCTTACCTCAATAAGAGTTTACCTCAACAAAAAAGACCCCAAAAAATGATAAGAGTTTTAAAAATACCGGGTATACATTTTCAAAGAATGGTTTACAAAAGCATTGCTGAAAATTATACGTGGAAGTTGGAACTAATGAGTCGTTTAGATATTTAACTCTTAATGGTGCCTACTTAGTCATTTTGGTATAGAAAAGCCCCCGCCCCCACCACCACAAAAAAGGCTAAACAGCCATATAATATTTATTTACTCCGTAACTGAGTACAAAAGGGCTAAAATTTTGTTGTCAATGATAAAAAAAATGTATTTACTGTTCTTTTGGGCCTTTGTAGTTTTTGGAAGTTGGTCAAGAGTTGACGAACCATTATATGGAAGTAATTGCACCCCAAGATGTTGCAACATACGGTGGCCTTTGTGCACTTGCAAGTTTTGAACGAGCAGAACTGAAGGCAAATATGATTAATTCTTAAATTATTGCAGTTTAAATGTGGATTTAGCCTCAAAATTTGTTGGATTGTAATTACTTTCCTCCTTCATTCTTGAGAACCTTTTCATTTACTTATTATTTCCTCTCCATTTTTTTTGCTTGCCAACCAATGGAAAAATGTCATTCATGTACGTTTTCTTTCATACCCATTTGTATCCTCCCTATTTCCCCTACTAACAAATGCTTATAAAGTTGGGTCCCTGTTATACTTGCCTTTCTAACATATTTCATTTGTGAATGCAGCCATGATGCTTTGTGTCTTGAGTACCTAGGAAACCTTAAAGCAAACCTATCGCTCGATATCCATTTGCATGACCACGTCGAAACACTGTACAGTCAGATCCGTAACAAAGCTCTCATACAGTACACTCATCCATTCGTCTCCATTGATCTGCACCTGATGTCCAATGCTTTTAAGACCACTGTTTCGGGGCTGGAGAAGGAGCTTGAATCTATGATTACCAATGACCAGATAAAGGCAAGTTGGTAGATTTTCAGCCCTGATTATTCTATAGTTGAAAACTCTCCACTTTTCGTTAACAGCATTCATTCTTTGCAGTTTTGGTGCACGGCCATGGATTTCTTGCGGCATTTGGTCATTTCCAGTCACTTATGCGGTGAAAATCAACCATAAATTGCCCAAAAGCCGCAAGAAATCCAGCAATGCAAAGAAGTAGAAATAGTAAAAGTTGGGAACCAACATAATAGTTGTTTCCTATGGGTCCATAGTGGGATACTTTCTTCTTTTGGTCCTTCTCTGGTGACTTACTCAGTGAATATCTTTCAGTATTTAGCTGAATAAGTGGTTGGAACTTGGAAGCACCAAAATTCCAAAATGAAGAACACGAATGACCTAACATTTTACACAATCAAAAGTGGAAAGTCTTATTCCATATTTCCTAATATTTTCTACTCCGTAATTTCTAACGAAAGAAGAACTGGGATTTGTGCATTTTGTGGACCGGAGTGGTTTAGGAGTGGCGCACTAAAAAGCATTTGTGGTTCGTGCAGGCTCGCATTGACTCCCACAACAAGATTCTATATGCACGACACGCAGACCCGAGGAAAACAACGTTTCACAAGGCTCTGCAGACCGGTTGGGAATTTGACCGAGACACGAGAGCTATGCTTTTGAGAGCAAACCTTGTGATGCATGAGCCGAGCTCCTTGAAACAACACCACCAACAACCTAGTTCGATCCCACACTAGTAGGGTCTGGGAACACAAGAATAATACAATATACAGATAACATATGTGATGAGGTGAAAAAAGGATATGGATTCTTAATCTTTTTTCCCCTTCATTTTCAGGAGACACCCACCACACAGTATATAATCCTATGCTGTGTTTTTCCATGTGTTGTATACTACCAGTAATTGACTAATTGCTTTAGACAAAGTGTATTAACAATTTTTAACAAAATAATAAAACAAGAATACTTCTTTGTACAAATTCACTACCAACAGTACGAAGTACTCCATACTATTTTACTCTTAAAACTTTTGTTATTTTAAGAGTAAATTCTCAAAATTATACTCAGTAACTATGTGTTTTTCTAGATTAGTCTCTAAATTAATTAATTTCTAAGATAGTACTCATTAATTGAAAATAATGCTCAGCTCATCCGCCCGACTACTGGTCATAAAAATGACGTTAAACTTTATACTATTTTCCCAAAATGGTACGAATACTTTTTAACTGGTGTTTTTTCAAATTAATCAATTTTTGAAATAAAGATACATTAGTTATGAAAAAATATTTTAAATTCTATAGGATGACAATATAATAGTTAAAACTACAAATATAATTTTACAAATTTAAAAGTAAATGTTTTGATTATTTATAATTATTTAGAAGAATGGCATGTAAATAACATGTCTAATAACCGTTAAAGAAATCAGCATAAATAAAAATAAAACATAATCGAAGTACCAAAATATGAGTTCTTTCCCTATGTTTTACTACTATTTAGGATGATTTATTCAACGTTTATTAAATATTTTATTTACATGATATTTTTTTTAAATAATTGTAAATAATGTAAAAAGTTACTTTCAAATATATAAAATTAAATTTATTATTTTTATTATTATATTATCATCCTATAAAATCTATAATAGTTTTCCACAATTGATATATTTTTATTTCGAAATTGACCAATTTGAGAAAATACCCCGTTAGAAACTACCATTTTGAGAAATTAGTATAAAATTTAACGTCGTTTCAACGGCCTTTAGTTGAGGGGATTGAACTGAGCATTATTCTCAATTAACGAGTATCATTTCAAGAATTAATTAGTTTTGAGAATTAGTTTGAGAAAACACATAGTTATTGATTACTATTGTGAGAATATATTTTGTTATAATATAAATTTAGTACAATTAAGTTTGTTTTAAAATATAGTTTTGAAATATCAAATTTTTATACTCTATAACATTTAATTATTTTAAATTATATTTAATTAATGATAAAAAAAGTATAATTTGACTAAAAAATTTAGTGTGGTTTTTTAGGAAGAGAAAGTACGAGTATTTTTGTAATCTCCTTCAAAGTTTATCCTGATGTATACCCATGGTTCTATACTCTTCTCCCAGATTACAGTACTCCAAATATCACTCTCTAATCTCTGCCATTTTTGTGCTTCGTTTGCTTCACTTCGTCTTCTTCATACGCTCAGATCTTCAAATTATATGTTGGATTTCTGGTGTGTAAATGGCGAGATCTTGATTACAAGTGTTAATGTGAACACGCAATGGGCCATTTGTCCATACATTCCTCCTCGAAGCGGAAGCCGCGGCGGTGGCGGCTCCTGGACTTGGTGACGGCGTTCTTATTCTCCGCCGTCTTTGTTTTCTTCCTCCTCCTCTTCACGCCGCTAGGCGACTCGCTCGCGTCGTCCGGCCGCCAGTCGCTGCTGAACTCATACGAGGGCGCGCAGCAGCGGAGGCGCCTCGCCGCGCTCATCGAGGCCGGACACAAGCCTCCCCCGATCGATGTCTGCCCTGCCGATTACTCCCACTACATGCCCTGCGAGGATCCTAGGGCGCGCCGGGAAAAGCATTGCGTATTGCCTGAAGACGCGCCGCTTTGCTTGATTCCGCAGCCTGGTGGTTACCGAGCTGCTGTTTCGTGGCCAGAGAGTTTGCACAAGGTTTATTGCTAGAATCCTCGATTTGGATGTGATTAATTACTGTTACAATTATTATGTTAAGTTCTCAAATTATACTTTACAGTTTTAGGCCCAGATCAGCTAATATAATTCTTCACTGAACTTTGAATTGTGAAACCAACCATCCAGAGAGTGTTTAGAAAAGCCACCCAGTGTTCTAGTTAATCTAGAATAGCCTTTCTATGTTGATTATATCTGCCTGCATCTGTTATAAAGTTCCAATTGTCACATTTTTTGTCATTTATTGGAATGATTGGAGTGATAGTGGTTAAAATGCAGATATGGCACGACAACATGCCTTACGAAGAAATTGCTAACTGGAAAGGCCGTGGTGGAGGGGGGATGAAAGAAGAAGGTCCATACTTTACCTTTCCTGAACATAGTCCCATGTTTTCGGATGGAGCACAGCCGTATATTGATAAACTCAAACAATATATTCCTATAGCTGGTGGAGTTCTGAGGACAGCTCTTGATATGGAATCGAGGGTGCAAATTCAATTCCTTTTTTTTCTTCCTTTTGAGACCATCTATTGATTATATCTGAAAATTTGTTCCTCTTTCTAACCATAGGCTGGGAGCTTTGGTGGTTTCCTACTTGCTGATGACATGCTGACCCTTTCTCTTGCTTCTAAAGGTTCGAATAAACAAGTACAGTTTGCGTTGGAACGAGGAATACCCGCATTTGCTGCTACTCTAGGAACTTACAGGCTTCCATTTTCTGCTTTTTCATTTGATTTGGTGCATTGCTTGAAGTGCTCAATTCCCTTTACTACACACAGTAAGTTTTTAAAATTATTCTCACTGTGACATATAATTACTATTTCTGATTCTTACAAAACAATATAACATTGCAGATGCAACCTACTTTATTGAGGTTGATCGGTTGCTTCGACCAGGAGGCTATCTTGTCATTTCTGGTCCTCCGGTACAGTGGCCTAAACAAGATAAAGAATGGACAGATCTTCAAGCCGTGGCCAGATCGTTGTGCTATGAGCTGATTGTTGTGGATGGTAACACTGCCATTTGGAAGAAGCCCAACGGGGATTCATGTCTTCAAAAAAATGAATTTGAGCTTGAATTGTGTGATGACTCTGATGAACCAAGTGTTGCATGGTGATACTACTTACATACATTCTTGTTTTTTGCAGTTCTTTAGATTATTGATGAATCATGCACCTCCTCATTTATCATCTACATAGCTGATGGAACCTTGTCTAGTTACCTGACTGTGTTTGGTCATCTGAATGGATTGATAGGTATGTAAAGCTGAAAAAATGTGTCAGCAAGTGCTATTCTGCAAAAGGAAATATTGCTATTGGTGCTATTCCAAAATGGCCGAAGAGGCTGATGAAAGCTTCTTCTAGGGCTGCTGCATTGAAATATGGGTTGGACGTTTTTGAAGCCGACAATAGAAGATGGGCAAGGAGAGTAGCATACTATAAGAAAACGTTGAACCTGAAATTAGGGACTCCAGCCATACGAAATATCATGGACATGAATGCATTCTTGGGAGGCTTTGCTGCAGCATTGTCATCTGATCCAGTTTGGGTGATGAACGTGATTCCTGCTCGTAAGCCTTTGACACTTGATGTCATCTATGATAGAGGTCTTATTGGGGTTTACCATAATTGGTAATTCATTCTTCAACTTTTCAAGTCTTTATATAATTCTCTTTTTGTATTCAACCATCAAAGTGTGGTGTCATGTTTTTTATGGAACTGAAGGAATTGATAAATGAAGTGCCCTAACAATGATAAAAATAGCTAGAAGATTTTAATTACACAATTGTTCGCAGTCAACATTTGACATGCTGGCTGATACACTTGCAGTTTCTAGCACTTCGCTAGAGTGTCAACTTCCTTTGAAGTACTCTGCTGTGACTTTTTGAAGTTGTGCTCTCTTTGGTTGACACTTGACAGTTAAAAAAATTTAATCAGTTATGTTTTGGAAATCACGGTCTTAATGATGAAATCAACACAAAGCCCGAAGGCCCTAAAAGAAGTATAAGAATTTGAAGTTGATTTGTATTATTTATCCATGATAGGTGTGAACCTTTCTCTACTTACCCCCGGAGTTATGATCTTATTCATGTAGCAGCTATTCAATCTCTCTTAAAGGATCCTTCTTCTGCCACGAGCAGGTGTGTATATGATTTTTATGTAAAAACGTCACTCCTTCCCTCAATTATGTTATGTAGCTGTTTTACTCAATTTTCAATGTTAGGATTGTGTTCTCGTCTTCTCGAAGTTCTTAACCATGCAATTTTGATCCTTCATACTGGAAGGGCTAAAACTATGGTCTGTTCTGAAGCGATTGCAGTTAGGGTTTGTGTTTTGAATACGTTTAATGGTATATATTAATTTTAAAATCTAATGGAAGCCGGGCTCTAAACCATTTCCCATTTATTCAATAAGTTTTGGATCAAACGTAGGATTTTGAAAGACTGAAATGGACGTAACATGGTTAAAGAGTTAGGATCCATTCTTAATCACATTGATGACTAGTCAATTTCTTGGAGTATGATGTTTCCCCATTTGATCATGCTCTAAAGTTTTAAACTTTCATCTGGTGTCATCTAAGCAATTCATAAGTTTTAAGTAATACAGTGAGCATCCAGTCATTGACTGTAGGATTAGTGAGAATGAATTCTGTTTTATGAATGTGTCTGCATGTGCATATTGTGTTATTGTTTAAATGACTTTACATAGCATAAAAGGAACTGCAATTGGACAAGATTGTACATGGATCAGAATATCAATATTTGTAGTAAATAACTTACTTTCTGCTTCCCAAAATGAAATTAAGTTTTTTTCCACAAAATGTGAAATTGCATGGTTGAGATTTATGCATAGGAGAGAGAAATAATCTGAATCATTCAACACTTTGCTTAAAAGGAACAAGAACTTTATTTTGGAATGTTCTAAAAAGAAAAGTGACATTTTTATCCTCGGATGGATGGAGTACATTTTTTGTCAAAGCTTACAGGAATTTTCTGGAGCTCAACCTTTGCAAAATCTAGGTCCACACATTGTGTCTTTTTTGTCATTTTTATCTTTTAATTCAATAGATACAGAACAATGGTTTATTCATCCGGAAAACCACTTGCAATTTGCAGT